TCCCCTCCATTTGTCCGTGGCGGTATTTTACGAGTACCATTACTTTAACGGGTTATAACTTTTAACTTCTTCACTAAATTTGCCAATGAAAATATGGTTTTAGGAAAAACAAAGTATATATTTTTTCCTATTTGTCATAAAAGGTTCTGATTTTTTTTTTGAAAGTGATTTTTACCAGTTTCTTATTGGGTATACTTACAAGCGTATTAAATAAAAATTATCAAAGGTATTATAAGTCTGCTCTTTTTAAGACTGTTTGTTAATAACATATTTAATAAAATCTTCAGATTTTTTTAATATAAATAAAAAATGAAACCTCAAACAATCGATAAAAATATCGATTATAAATTACTGCAAAAATAAGGGATTTTTGAAATTATTTCAGCCAATTATTATAGGAAATATTCTTTATGTATTTTAATTTTGAAACTCTCAATATTAAAGAACATTTTGTGAACTACATATATTGTTGAACTATTTTTCTATAGTTTATTTTTATGAACGAGAGAGTAATTAGCATAATTTTAACTGGTACCTCCGACCACTCCATGGGCGTGCTCAAGATTAATTGAAAAATTACTTTGAATAATTGTAAAAAATAAATGAATTATTTCAGTGTTATAAAGTGTTATGTGTATGTAAACAAAAGTGACCTCTTTATCACACACTATATTAGAACTGACGGGCCTACATTAAAAAGGGTTTTAAAAAATTCACATTTTTTTTAATTTTTAAAAATTACAAAAGAGAAAAAGAGTTTTTAAAAACCGTCTAAGGTATGTTAAATAGATGAATAAAAATATTAATATAAACTTACAGCTACTTGTTACAAATCCAAATCAGATTCAGAAGATGAACTTTCAGAACCAAGATTTATAATAACTGGCTCGATCATTTTATCAGTAATATTGTCCAGCTTCCACATTTTTTCCTCTTCTTTAATAGTGTGATTTACTGCCTTTTCCCAGTTTTCAGGTTTTACATTATTTACGGCCTCCAAAAACAACTGTTTAACATCATGAATTTTAAAAGTGGTATTTTTTCTTGAAACTTCACTCTTTATCTGTGCCCATACCAGTTCAATCGGGTTTAATTCACAATGATATGGTGGGGATCTAAGTACTGTCATTCCACGATTTTTGGCAATTTCATCAATTTCGTATTTTTTAAATTTTTCTTTATGAAGGGCACACAACGAATAAAGTTCCTTTCTTATAGATCCGGGATGGTACGTAATATTTTTTGAACTCAGCTAATTCTGCAAGTCTTTTTTTAACCACTTGGTTGTGGGCAGTCAGTCCTTCTATAAGTCTGGAGTGATAACTTGCATTATCCATTACTATTACACAGTTCTTAGGAAGAAGATCTATCATTTGTTCGAACCATTCTTGAAAGACATCAGCGTTCATGTCTTCATGGTAGTCACCGGTACGAGTTGATTCAAAAGTTAATAAACCACCTTCAACAAAACCGTCTGAACTGCCAATGTGTACTATTATCAGCCTGCGTCCCTTTCCTGATGGTGGGTTTAAACCAGTAGATAAGTTATTTACAAAAGCGTGCCTTTGACTTGTAACAGTTTCATCCTGCCAAAATTTATTTGGTGTATGACCCTCGTTGATCCATGTTTCATCAAGATAAAATATTCTTTTTTTTTGGTTTCTCATTTCCATTATGGTTCTTAGAAAATGTCTTCTCCATATGACAATATCGCTTCTTTCTAATAAAATAGACTTTCTGGGATTCTTTTTCCAGCGGAAGCCTATTTCTTTTAAAAGTTTCCATAACGTACTTCGACTCATTTCTGGGTAATCCTTATCATCTCGAACTGAGACAAGAACTTTATCCAATGTTGGAAATTCTTGTCTAAAGAAAAATTCATGCACTTTCCGTCGAAGTCCTTCTTTAAAATGATATTCTATTTGAAATTTTGGTTTCCCTGGAGCATTACATGGCATTTGAAAACTACCACATTTCTCTTCTTTAATAACTCTGTAAATCGTAGATTTCCCAACACCAAGTGTACTGTCAGTTAACTCAACGGTCTCATCAACACTTTCACATAAACGTTTGTCTGTAAGTGATTTAAAACAATTAAATATTAATGTTTTTTCATTAACTGTTAAAGGACCAATTTTTCGGCGTTTACACGGCACTTCCAAATTTTCCATAAAACTAGTATACACAATAAACTGCACCTTGCAACTGAAGTACCTACTTTTATTGAACTGTTAAGAGTTTTGAATACGCCACTTGGACCTTCCTACAAAATGGAAAAACCCACTATCACATTTTCTGTGGAATAAGTTTAGAAGGTAATTATCTAGTCAATTACTGTCGTAGATTCCTGGAATTAATGAATTAAATGTTTGATTGTTGAAACCCTTACTTCGTGGAATGCACTCATTTTAGATAAAATAAAACGTTTTATTTTATCTAGGGCCGGTTTCACCAACAACAAATAAATCACTGGATAGTTAATCGTCGAATAAAATTTATTAGTAGAATAAATTTTATTCCGTTTCAATAACTATTTGTAATCCACAGTTAGTTATTCGTCGAATAAGTTCAAAGTGTAATGATTTTCCACAGACTGTACTCGTTGACACCTCTTTTGGCCTCCACCTCTTAGGTGTTTGGCCAGGCACATCGCACTATTTTTCACTGTAATCATATACATAACCTATAATATTTGATATTGGTTGATTAATTTGTCAAAATAATAATAATTGTCAATGCCAATGGTCAATACATATTTGAAACGATTCTGTTGCATAAAAACGATGAGCAATTAACAATTATGATTTCGCACATCTATGGGTCTATTTTTGTTGCTTACAGGATGCAGTTGGTTACTGATCAAATTTAATAAATGATCTACTGAATTTTTTGATAATCTAAACCTAGTTTTAAAGTCCACATCATCAAATTCAGCAAAAGGGTTTCTTCTTTGCAGCTGCCAGCAGCGTGGTCTTCTCCTTCGCCGCTCATTTCTGTCATCAGAGGATGATGATGATGAAGATAATATTCGAAAATAAATATATATGTATACAAAATTAAATTGTCTTATATAATTACGTTTACCTGCAATACATTGTTGATAATTTCAAGTTAAACTAATGAATTTTCTTTATTATTGATATTTAAAGTGAGGTTAGCTGTCAACTTATTCGTAGAATAAATATTTATTTGGCCGATATTGGACTAATAATTTATTTGGAGTTTATTCATAAAATAAGTCTTATTTGACGTTGGTGAAACGCATATATGTCAGTTTTATTGGTCGAATAACTTTATTCATTGAATAGACTGCTATTTGTCGTTGGTGAAACCGGCTCCTAAAGAATTAAACTTTATTTTGCAAATAGGTAGGTACTTATTAAACTTTTATTGGTTATATATAACCAATAAAATAAACATCTTACATTTCTTGCAAATTCATTAGTACCTGTTAACCTCCATCACTCCGACACAGGCAACCTTATTTACTGATTAGTAACCCTCACAACTATTGTATTCTATTCTGCTCCAACCTTTATACCTGGTGGTCATACACAATTTAAAATTGTTTTCCTATATACTTCTGTAAACTTGTTGACAAATATCTGTTTTTCATTGAGTCACCCGTATCAACAGTTTAGGGATTTGCATACATAATTTATTGTTTTATTACTCTCTCATACATAAAAATACACTATATAAAATACATAAGAAGCGTTTTATAGGCAACTTTTACTTTTCACGATTGTTAAAAACCAAAGCAAAATTAGCTGTACGTCTTCACATAATTGTCATCAGCTATCCCTCATTTACCTTATAGAATCTCTAAGTGCTTGGATAAGATTTTTTCAGATTTTTTTTCCTGATCGGTGTAGACCAGTTTCATGTGAAAAAATTACTAATTTCACGTAAAAATCTAAAGAAGAGTCCATAAACAAATTAGTTTTTTTTTTGGTATAAATTACGTTAATCTTTCCTAAGGGCGTATATTGCCAAGTTTTAAGTTTCAAAGGAAATTAAATGGTTAAAATGTTTATATTTTAGGAATCGGTACAAAAAGGCAAAAGGCTGAAATAAGTTGTGATAGAATTTAATATTTAAATTTTTTTTATATATTATATTATAGTGTACATGCCATTATTCCATAATAAATATTTAAAGGTATTTAATATTTTTGTAAAAACTTTAGTTTTAAACATGTTTAAATCAAAATGGATTAGCTAAACAGTAAATGTTTTGTTCTTTCTGAGTATTTAATTTTCTCATTTAAATCCATTTTTGTTTATTTTTAACACACAATTAATCCATTGCAAAGCGACCTTAGGTTAGATATGACCGTTCTCATGTTTCTTATAATATACGATTACTTTATCGATATTTCATATGATATTTGATTACTCTAGTTTATTACCTTGTGATGATTATGATATTTGATATTTTAAATATATTTTGATATGGTGAATTTTACCATTTTTTATTTTTATGAGATTTGCACTTTTTCCTTTGTCTTATAAATATATCCCATTTCTGTTTTTTTATATAAATATTTAAAACCAGTAGCGCCCTCTTTTTGCAGCCTTGTTCTCTTTCCTGTTCTTTTTGTTATTTGTGTCAATCTTTCTTGTGTTTCTCACCTCTATGAGCCACCCCGCCCATAATCTACTTGAGCAACGGTGTCTTAGTAGGGTAGTTCATTATGTATGGAATGCAGAGCCAGAGATCTTTGAAGACCATAAACGGCATCACAAAAACTAATACACTCTGCAGAGGTCAGGAAGACAAATAGTCTTATCTGTGATCGCTTCTTTGTTGGTCGACTGTTGATAGGTTTGGTCTTGACATTTGTGTTGAAGATTTATAATAATTTGTAGGTCTGATAGATTATAATATAAGAGATTAGTTCCGTTGGAAAAGAAAAAGTTGTATAAATATAATATACGAATTTTTTACCTAGACAATACATTATATACTCCAATGATAAAAAGTATTTTTTGTTATAGATGAAGAAGAATCAGTAGACCTGTCTGTGCAGTTGGAAACTTCCATTAACGTCGGCGACCATGTCTTCAGTCAAATGCAAGGCGACTTGGATCAACAGAGATTGCTGGGAGAGCGGCCGTTCAATGACCCTTTGGCGGATATTATGGTTAAGGAAATACAACACCAAGAAAGGTAGGAAGTGTGATTATTTTTAAAAAATCGTCCTAATTTGTCATAATTATGATTATTTTGGTATTTCTCATAGGTATACTGAATTTGTTAAAACGAATAAAATATTTGTCGGTTAAATATATTAGAGTGAGTCGCTCTATTTTAAGTTATTCCTATTCGTTCTAGAAAGTGATACTTGTTCAAGGTTAACTAACTTTTTAGGGGTTGTTATCCTTGTATAAATATAAGGGTAGTCGTATGTAAATTTTAGATAAAAGCGTCCTATGGCTATTGGACTTTTCCACACTGCGATCTGACAGATCTTTTGTGTTAACCCTATATTTATGGGTTTTGGATAGGTTTTTGCGGTTGCTGTCGAGACTGTTTTGATATGAGGTCATGCTCAAGTAGGCAATTAAACTTTTTCCTCGCTACTTCGCCCATATTCTCACATTGAAACATTTTCGTTTCTTGTTGAGCTTTATCGTGGATTGTTGATATTTAATTAGTTTCCTTTTCATCACCTTTGGAAGTATGGCCTATAACATAATCCAATTCCATAGTTTTAGAAAGATTGATGCCTCTTTGATTGCATATTTCTGGTTCATTCTGGTTCGCGAGAAGTTAGGGAATGGATTTTCACTCGCTGCAAAATCCTGCATGCTCCGATAAGGCTAAAGAAACGTACGTGTTGCCTGATACTATGGGTTGATCTGTCATTAGTTTACAATTGATTGCGCTCGCCTTACATATTTAGACACCCTGACTAAGCATAAACCTCACAGCGACAAGGTCTCGCCGTTCTCGGAGGGGAACACTTGGAGACCTAAGTGTTATGAGATATTATGTTATGAGGTTATGGAAAACTCTTCTTTGGTAAAGTGATTCTGTGTTAGTTTCTGTCCTTATATTATTAATCATCATCATCATTTTGGCTTTACAACCCTGTGTGGGTCCTAGCCTCCCCAAGAATTCTCTTCCAGTCGTCCCTATCCATCGCCTTCCTCCGCCAAGCACGTGTTTCCATATTTCTCATATCTTGGTCTATGTTATCTAGGAATCTTGTTCTGGGTCTTCCTCTTTTTCTTTGACCAATAGGTCTATCAAGGAGCGTTTTTCTAGCTGGGTCGGTTTGCTCCATCCGCATTACATGGCCTACCCACCTCAGACGTCCTATCTTAATGTGTTGTACGATATCTGGTTCCTGGTATATTCTATAGAGTTCGAAGTTGTATCGTCTTCTCCAGACACCATTTTCATTTACCGCTCCATAGATTCGTCTCAGTATTTTTCTTTCGAAACATCCTAACATGTTTTCATTGCTTTTTGTTAAAGTCTAGGTTTCTGAACCATATGTTAGAACTGGGCGTATTATTGTTTTGTAGAGTTTTACTTTTTTATTTCTTGATATAGCTGTAGATTTAAAAAGGAAATTAAGCCCAAAATAGCATCTATTAGCCGTGCAAATTCTGCGGTTTTTCTCTGCGGTAATGTCATTTTCAGTATTGACGAGCGTTCCCAGGTATACAAATTCGTTAACTGCTTCGATGACGTCGTTTTCTTGCGTTGCGGACCTACTTTCATGTATTTCGTTTTTTCCGCCTTCAATGTCCACGTTTCTACTCTATACAGAAGCACTGAGTACACGTAACATTTAATGAGTCATGGCTCTTGAATACAGAGCTCATAGTCAAGAATCCACTTTTGGCCTTTCCGATGCGACATTTAATCTCTTGGGTATTGTCCCATGACTCATTGATTATAGTTCCCAAGTAGTTGTATTGTGAGACACGTTCAATTTTTATTTGGTTCACATACAGATTTGCTCCAGTTATGTTTTCCTTGCTGATGATCATATGCTTGGTTTGGTGTTTATATCCAGTCCATATGTTCTACTTGTTTCCGCTATTCTGTTCAATAAGTTTTGCAGCCCTTCTATGGTATTGGAAAACCCTATTGTATCATCAAGATGTGGACAATTATAAGCAAATCATAATTTCTAAAAGTCTTAGTTTACCTCTATAAGAAGCAATTAATATTCTCATTTTGGTTAGCAAATATATAGGACTTATTTAACTATTATTCAACCATATACATATGGTTTAAAATCTAAGGTTTATTAGTATACATTTCATTTTTTCATTTAAATATTGATTGCGTAAAAGTTTTTTATCACTAAAAACTTTTAGCTCTCCTTTATGGTTAAATGAATGTAATTTTGTTCAATTTGTATCAGGCAGTTATGTTAGCTTTGAGCACATATTGATTGCATATTAAATGCAAACGTTGATTGCAGTATTTGAATATTGATTACTTCCTTTGTAGTACATAATATTTTTATTAAAATATAGTTACTGTGGTAAGAATGGCAAGCGTTTGCTGAGTTTATTTAAGAATAGCATGATACAAGACGAAAATTTTCAAATATTTCTACTGTTATTAAGAATCACTTCAATTGCAATTTAAATACTGCATGGTTACTTTAAACAACAATTATGAAAAATATAAAATGCACAAGATGAATTGAAACTATCTTTTTGTGGTACCATACCCACTCCTCTACATTAGTATATCTGTATTTCGTATCGTTTAGTGTGCTCAGTTATACGGAATATATATTTTAATATTGATTCCGAAGGGTAGACAAGCTGTACTAGATAAATTACTACTCTGTAGTTTTGGTATTGCCTTCAAAGAAACGACCTCGTCAGTACCTTCTGATTTTCTATAGCTATACTGGGTTGTAATGATACGATGGTGGTAACTTTGTGTATATAACTAGAAGAATTGTTCAGATTTCTTCTGATACACCTCAAAATGAACTACGACCAACCAACGCAGGTGAGAGTTCTGGGACCTATACCATATTTATTATATACCTGTGACCTGTTATGGAAAATTTTAAACTGGTCATATTTGCAGACAACACTGCATTACTAACAGTTGGTGAAACATTTAAAGAAACAACTAGACTGTTCGAAAATACAGTAAATAAAATAATTACTTGGAAAAATAAATGGCGTATAAAACTTAATAAAGGGAAATCCGGCCAAAGTTTGATTTGACAATGAAATCGTTTCGTACATGAACACAGTTAAAGAGCTAGCGCTACATTTGGATAGGAAATTCAAGTGGCAGGAACATTTGGAAAGAAAACTGAAGGACTGAAACTGATACTAGAAGTTATATTGGTTATTAGGTAGAGGCTCACAATTTTTAATCAGAAACAAGGTACTAGTTTATAAAACAAATGCTCAAACCAGTATGGTTCTATGGTCTCTAGATATGGGCTGTAGTAGCTTGCCTTTGAAGTGTCCTAAAGAACACTAGGGAATACAGTCAGGGCTCAATAAAGAAGATTGAAAAGGGTCACGAAAAGCGACTCCATAACCATACAAACATGGAAGTGTCAGAACTGCTAGATAATCAAGACCTAGTCCGCAGGGTGAAACCTTTTAAACGTGTGTGAACCTAGCCAGAACAGTGAAGTATGCAGTAATAATTATTAGATTCTAACTATTGGGGACACTTAAGACAATAAAGTAGCAGATTAGGTATACATATATAAATTTTATAATTATTTTTATACTCTTTTTTATGAGATTTGAAATCGCTCAAAGATGCAGAAGTAGTCAAATACCTTATCTCCAACCAAACAGGATCTTTAGTAAAATTCATAGACTTCTTTTTATTAATGATCAGCGTCATTATTTTAGAGTGACCGTTTAAAAACTTCTGTTTCCAAGTTTATATTCAATTTCTTGCATATCTGCCGTGCTCAGATTAGCGAAATCTGAAGCAAAAGGACTAATTCTGTCTTTCTATATTGATAATGAAAACCATTTGTATGTCATGTTTTTATGACTGAAAATTCGGTAAAAATAGACTGTTGGAGTATCACCGATATTCGAAGTTAATACGAGTGACGTCATGAGACAATAAAAAAATTACAAACAAAATTTCATACTTACAAGTCTTTATTTATTCATAAAGAATCTACAAACTATACTTTTTCCAAGTTTAAAAACTTGTCGCTTAACTTTTTGTTTGTTTTCTAATCATTACATAGTAACTACGCACATAGTTATTATGAATTAGTGATGGTATTTATATACAGTGGCGTAGTAGTCTAGGCGGGATCTATTTTGAATTGGACACTTTCTAAAATTTAGCACACTGTGTTTTATTTAACAAAATCTGAAAACAATTGAAAATTTCTCATTTTTTGCTCCTATTTTCGTTTATAATTCGAAAAATAATGATCCTAGAGAAAAAATTATACGAAGTGAAAAGTTTCGTTATTCAATTTTACACAATATTTCGTTAGCTAGAAATTAAAAATTTAATGTTTATTGTTGAAAAAATAGCAATAATTAAAAAAAAAGTACAAAAAAATAAAGTTAATTCTTTAAATGTTTTCGACTTTCTAAACTTGACTTACAAGCTCCATATTCCGCATATAAAAACTTTTTAGTATGTTTAAAAACGTGTGCTAAATTTTCTTAAGATCGATCGGATAGGTTTTTCATAATAATTTTGCAATCCTGCCTACTGGAAAAAAATCTCAAATTTGCAAATTTATAGTAGGCCCTAAATAAGGCCCTCAGATGCAAATTTTTTTACATATAAAGGAAGGCTCAAACTTTCAAATGCTTTTTTTAAATTCAAATCGGTTTCACTAGGAGAGCCTAGAAAAATTTTTAAAGTTTTAAAGTAAAGTAAGCCGAGAGTATCTTTTTTTTTAAAGAAGCGTCTTTTAATGTTCTTTTAAGTGTATTAATTTTGAAATTGATATGTTTAAAGCTCGTAAAGTTATTCAATTTGTTTATAAGCTTAAAAAATGTTTAAAACTTTAAAAAATCTTCTCGGCTCTCCTAGTAAACCGATTTGAATTTTACAAAAAGCATTTGAAAGTTTGGGCCTTCCTTTATATGTAAAAAGAATTGCAACTATCTGAGGGCTTTATTTAGGGCCTACTATAAATTTGAAAATTTGCTATTTTTTTTTCAGTAGGCTGTATT